TCATGTCCTAGGCTAACAGTGCAGTGATGTAAGGGTTCAATGGGCAACCGCATCTGAGCTGCACATGACACGCACGACGCTCAACCAGCGACATGAGAAAACAAGTTTAACTTAAGGGAATTGTGGTTTATGGATTCGCATTTTCGTCAGTGGACGGAGCAGTGATCTCCGCCCACAGGGACGAGTTGCAGTGAAATTCACATAAAAGATAACTTTGGTGAGCAAATTTTCGCTTGGTCCTTTTGGATGCAGTCTCACAAGTCTGCCGCTTATTATATACCAGGACAAGGACGAAAACCGGGTAACAAGTTCCTCAATTATAAATTTGTATTTCAGATTAGGCGCGCCTAAAAAGTGTTCTGGAGACATTCTTGTTTGGAATGCAGATATGACAGAGAGTCCGTTCTAGCTGAATAAGATGTACACGAAGAATAGAGTCAAGCAAACAGATGTCTTATGGAGTCAAAAACGGAAAGAAGTGGGGTGAAGTGACAATAAAATATTCAGGTGGCTGGGTCCACTTATGGAACAATATGTGAAAAGCCACAATGACTGCAGTTACAGGTTTTGTGCTTTTTCTCTGCGGTAGATTAATGCCAGTCAGGTAAAACGCACTGCAAAATGACAGTCCAATCCTACATCACGGTGCTCTGCGATCAACTCTCTAGGTCGATATGACGATGCATCGATCCACAATACCCGACGACGAGAACGCTTTATAAGTAGTTGGTAGTCAAACGTTCCTGAATGCAGGTATAGACATGGGTTTCTTCGTTCCTCCTTCAAAATGGCGGAAACCGCGAAGCGAAAATGACACCGCAAAAGAGTATGAAGGAGTTTACGGTGAGTTTGGGTGTTATTGTTGCCGTACTCCTTCCAGGATGGGGTCCCGGGGACTCCTTCTACTCTTGGCTGCAGACATTGCAATAACTGGCGCCTGATGGATACCAGTAGCGTTTGTGCTGTCAATTTCCCTGCCGACTATCTGACTAAGCGCAATTGTAGCCAATTCGGGATACATGCGATAGGCCTGCATCATGTTTCTTCTCTCATCCACTTTTTATACTAAGACTTCAAATATAATTGGCGAAAAATTTTGTGGTTTTATGGTGGTGAAGCATTATTGCCAAAAATGATATTGTTCCCTATTATTATTATGATGATGATGATGATATGGACAGGTGACACATAATGGAATGGTTTGTACATAGCGCACACGTGTCCCTCGGTGCCGTGGACAGACTGGAGGTGAGCAGTGTGTGGATGGTGGCCTTGACGACAAAAATCTCTGTTTAACAGAAAGCATGCATATGAGTCATGATTTAAAGTGAATAACCAAGGACGTCAAACTCTGAAATGGTCAGGTTGGGTTTATTTGAACCAGCCTTATCGGCGTTTCCTCTAGCATGTAACACAAATTTTTGAGATTGCCAGATGAAAAGTGGAAAAATCGAGCGTGTTAGTTTGAAAAAGTTGAACAAAATCATTAAAAATCCAAGGACACAGTACTATTGACGAACATTTACAAAAAGATATCGACCTCTAAGATGGGGTATTCTCTGAAAGCCACTAAAGACACACCTAATTTCTGTAGTTTCACGTTTATACTCATCCAAGATCTTTGAAAATAGACTCTAACATACCCTCATTTCTGACGCGGTGGAACCGATCAACATGTGGGACTTGGCATTCCATACATCCACCTGAAGCGTCTTATGGAGAAGGTACTCGAAAACCTCCTCATACTCCCCCGAATTCATCCAGTTGGGATTCATGGTGAAAGTGACCTTTGTAAAGATGGGGTGTGATAAGAGGACAGTGTTGAAAAGATGCTCCAAAGGGTGTTGGGATATCTTAAACAACTGAAACAGTTCAAAATACACCGGTTCTCCCGCATATTTCATAAAAAAAGCCTCAACAACAGATGTCTCCGCAGCGTTTCACTTGGTTGTGGTCGGAACGCAACCCAATTATTCGTTCCAGGTTACAGAACGCAGCAGCCCACTTAGGAAGACACTGCAGTCTCAGAAAATATAGGTCCACAGACGCGCTTCATACTTTCAGTGTGCATGAAAATTGACAGATATCTCATTCGGACTTGAAACAGAGTTTCACCGGCAGACGTGACACACTACTCTTAAGGCAGCTGCGAACTCTTCGACAGCCCACTATCGGTTTGGTCCTTCTTGGGGCTCATCGAATAGGCAGTCTCTGAGTTCTTGCCGAACCATGTTCTGCTTGAACCCAAATTTCATGAAGAAGAACATCATAACAGAGCGATTTATGTAAGTCTCTCGTGAAAACACAATTGGTATGCAAATGAGTGCAGTTATCGTTATCGCTAAATTTTTTTATGCGGAGCGAATGTACTGAGGTTTTTGAATGGGGAAATTGACGCGACAGGCCCTCACTGTGCTGCAGGCAACTGAATCCGGGAAAACATTCAGAATCATCGACTACGATGGCTCGGTCATGTGCTACGCATGCCGAAATACCGTCTACCGAGACGAGTATTGTTCTCCGTGCCTTCTTCAGGATGGCGAAAACCGCGAGGTGGACAGCACACGACCTGGCAGAAAGCTGTGAAAGAGATCACGAAGGGTTTGGGTGTTGTTAGTATGGTGAGACTTCCAGGATGGGGTCCCCGTGACCCCATCTGTGCTTGGCTGGAGACGTTGCAAGAAATGGCGGCTAATCGATGTCAGTGGCGTTCTTGCTGTCAGTTTCTTTCCAGATTGTCTGGTTGAGCGTTTGGAGGTGTAGGCACCTCAGTATGCTTGACATAGGCCAGCACTAGGTCTCCTCCCTCACCCACTCTTTTTCCCTTCTTTTCAACCTAGGGCTTTTAATATATATATAGACAAACCTTATGGTTGTACGGCAGTGATGCATCAGTGCCAACACTGATGTTGCTGTCTTTGATGATGATAATGATGATGATGAGTGTTTCGGAGGCACAAATTACATAAACAGGGGGCGAAAGCAAGGTTTCAGCAACATGTGCCTGTTGCCCCATTAGACAAACAGTACAGACATTAAAGGCTGCAAAATGGAACAGACCTCTTGGGTTTAGTGAGTATTTTGGTTTATTTTTCTGAGCGATGGTTTGAACACAGAACAGTGGCTGGGTTACTGACAGATGGGCTGATAGCACTGAAGCAACCCATGAGCTGGGAAGGGCTGTGAAAGAAGACCTCCGAACGAAAATCAGCAAGGTCAAATGATACTTCCAGGTTGCCGAAGCCGAAGAAGGGGATTTGGTTGGGATACCCCACTCTGAGCCTTTGGATCAAAATCCTGACCTACAAGGTGGGGGTGTAGGTTTTTTTCGGGGATCTCCTGAGTCTAGCCTTTCAGTCACAAGTCTAAAGCGCATGGCGGCAGTTGTTAGGATTTTCTTGGGACCCATTTCCGGAGCCAATGGTTTAATAGTTTGATCAACTTGGCTGCAATTGGCTGGCCTGGTCCGAGGATGCAGGTAGTAAGGCACTATTGTCTCACTTCTAATGCCACTGCACATAGCAGGTGCTTTTTGAGCAGCACTGGACTCACCAGTTCTAAAAGTATTTCGGCCGTACTGAATAACGCGCCGGTGGTCATCTCAACCGTTTGGAGAGTGCGGTTTTTAGGACCGACCTTTTCTAACCCGTTCTTCCGGGGGAAGACGACATTGCTGCTTCCATAAACAGCGACATGCTGGTCATCCGCGGAGAACAGCTCACTCTCTTCACAATCCTATCACAGAGAGCAATACTTTACCCTCCTGACTGCCTGGCAGCACGATTACTCGGAGTACGGGGTTTCGCTGCTTTTGGACTGAATGCTCTCCCTTGGCCTTCTTGGCATGGTTGTACATTGTGGAGCAGATTTCTAGCCAGTGCAGCCCGCTAGATCATCCCAGCCCTCAAGCCCGATAACTACGTCAAGGTGGCAGCTTTACGTCGGGACCTGAGCTGACAGTTGTATAATTCTAAACAAAATGTCACCCAACAACAGAACCAGGGAAATCTCACAGTGACTCATAGGTCTTTCTGAGTGCACGTCAATGATATGGTCACAAATCAGTGACATCTAAGGCTCCGTTCAGCGGAGATGTATAACAACACAATCGTAACTTAGATTTTTAATGAGTTCCTAGCGATCCATGATCTGACCTTGGATTCCACTAGCGTCGAGTCATAGTCGGCTGATGGGGTGTCGAACTTTCTGGAAACGTCCTCCCTTGCTTGTGTTTCAAGCTTTATTTCAGCTCCACCGACTGCAGGTGAGTTGATAAGTGCAGTGGGTTATGGATAAAACTGATTGGTTAGCAGTGGTGGCATAGCCCGTGTATATGCTCTCACAAACAAATGTGCTGCCTCGTAAGTCGCGTACGGGGATACGTTTGGAGTCGGGAGCCTGGCAGCCGATTACTCGGAGTACGGGGTTTCGCTGCTTTTGGACTGAATGCTCTCCCTTGGCCTTCTTGGCATGGTTGTACATTGTGGAGCAGATTTCTAGCCAGTGCAGCCCGCTAGATCATCCCAGCCCTCAAGCCCGATAACTACGTCAAGGTGGCAGCTTTACGTCGGGACCTGAGCTGACAGTTGTATAATTCTAAACAAAATGTCACCCAACAACAGAACCAGGGAAATCTCACAGTGACTCATAGGTCTTTCTGAGTGCACGTCAATGATATGGTCACAAATCAGTGACATCTAAGGCTCCGTTCAGCGGAGATGTATAACAACACAATCGTAACTTAGATTTTTAATGAGTTCCTAGCGATCCATGATCTGACCTTGGATTCCACTAGCGTCGAGTCATAGTCGGCTGATGGGGTGTCGAACTTTCTGGAAACGTCCTCCCTTGCTTGTGTTTCAAGCTTTATTTCAGCTCCACCGACTGCAGGTGAGTTGATAAGTGCAGTGGGTTATGGATAAAACTGATTGGTTAGCAGTGGTGGCATAGCCCGTGTATATGCTCTCACAAACAAATGTGCTGCCTCGTAAGTCGCGTACGGGGATACGTTTGGAGTCGGGAACATGAATGTGAATCTTTTCGGTACACTGCGTGACACTTTCGGCTTATCACTCAGAGTGAGGTGCTCTGAAAGAGTGGATTTTGACCGCAAGACCCCCTTCAGCAATATCCACCGAGTGTATCCGCGGTGCATGTATGCCTAGCCATATGGAATAAAGTCAGCGCCGTAACGGACAGAAACTAGTGAAGTCCATGTATTGTCTAGCCAACGTGGGCTCCTTAAATGAGGGGCAAGACATCACGCCATCGGGCTTCCCGGTCATCAAGACGTACAAAAGGGAAGTTTGTGATGATGTCCAAATTCACAGGTGGACGAAATGTCTTGATGGAGAGTGTTAAAAACAGACGACAAGTCTGAACTAGCAAAACGACTCTAGATTTGAAGCACAATGACAGATTCCATCGAAGCCCTGCTGTGGACCGTGCTGAGCTGCTGCGAAGACAACAATGCCACCCGCGAAATCCAACCCCCTGAACAGGAAAATCGGCACCCGCGCGCCTGGGAGCCATATTCCTGGTGGCTGCACACGTCACCGAGTGAGGAGAGTGACTCCACGCGCATAGGCAGGACGTAGCGCGCCTAGAGCGTGGGCGCAAACTAATAATCTATAGGGGACTCAGAGCTGTGGTCACAGCTGATATGCATACGGCAATCTTCTAAGTTAGCGTAATCGTCATAGCCACTACGTCTTGAGGAAGAATTAAACAGACCATCAAACCATACCTCTGGCAAGCCGAGACGTCTTACTTGTGCATAGGATCCACGGGAACTAGAACATCGTAACTCGTCTTATGTACAAGAGTTCCTGATAAAGCGTCATTCACTCGAGATAGAGTTGGTAGGTGTATATACAAAACTACAGGCCAATATTATTTCAGAGCTCGAGACGGCCCAGTGGTTAGGGAACAAACTTACCAACCTGAAGGTCCCGACCGCTTAATCTCGACTGTCTCCTGTCTAGAGCTGTGCAATCTGGCAATATCTCTGCCATCTTGCTTCCTTCGGGTGGCATGGCCGCTGGGCATCGAATCTGATCACCTCATGATGCACACAAACCTGACCGTTTGTTTCCCTTCAGGCCGTTACAAGCCAGTAAAAAGTACGCCAATCCGTCATCTTCAAAGAACTACGATAGCTCAACAGTATCGACATAAGCTAGCTCAAAAACAGCTCAACAGGAAACTGACGCTTCACTCGTAGTCAGCATGTGGATGCAATCAAATGACCACCGGATACCGTCGAGATCACCAGCACTAATTGATGCCAGGAAGTCCCTGCGGGCAGGTGACGAGTAAGACGGCGCAAGCAAACCCCTCATATATGGTGAAGAGCCCAAGGAAAGACCGAGAGCTTTTTGAACATCAAAAGCTCGGGAGATGAAGAAGGGTTTCGCTTCCGGAAACAGCCGTGCCCTATGCCAGTTGATACGATCGACTGGCCCTAGGGAAGCAACGTTAGTGAAACGATTCGTGAAAAAGACAGTACATTAATTCAGCTACAAAAGCAGCCGACGGGAAAGATGGGCCGAGGACTTCGAAGGACAGCTTAGCTGGCCTCCTGCAACACAGCCTCTGGAGATAGATCATACGGGCGAATGGAATACAAACTTTACTTACCCGTCGGAAGAAGAAAAAAAGTACAAACGTAAAAGGGCACCAAGATCGGGCGGTCTGTATCCAGCCCAATTAGAAAAAACGGAGAAACCCTGGTGACTTACAAAATAAAGCTCATTGGTGAGATATGGATTCAAGAGAAAGTGCCTGCAGAATGGTGGACGTCGACAGTTTTTCCCGTCTTCAAAAAATAGTACGCGAACGCTGTGTGAAATCGACATTATGATTTTCATCGATAGCATTCTATCAGTGTTTAGCACTGATGCTTCGCTGTCGTACAACCATGATTTATTTGAAAGCCTTGTTTGAAGAAAAGAGTAAAGGTGAACGGTGAAAGGACTTACAGATAGGTTACAACAGTCATTCCGAAGTGTCTACACCTCCGATACTTGTTCAGGCAAACTGGATGGAAACTGACAACAACAACGCCACTGACATCGGTTGGAAGCCATATCTTGCAACGTTTTCAATCAGGCGCAGTAGGGATCACATAGTCCCAGTCCTGGAAAGCGAATAGCACCGTAATCTCCTTTGTACTACTCTGCCAGGTTGAGGGTTTGTCACCCCTCTGATTCCAACACGATAAGTTGGGCATGAAAAAAGCAGCAAACGATGCTTAAGTACACACGAAAGAGGCCCCAACCGACGCAGCTTCTGATGCTGGACACATTTTTCAGTGGTAGTACCCGTTTCACAACCGGAAACTCGCTTTATAATGGTCTCATTACGGATTCGCCGACACCAACCTACACGAGCTATGGTTCTGGGACAATGATTGTCGAAAACCTAAAGACGTCTCAGTTCCGCTGCCCAAACAGGTCAAGTCTCACAGCCATACAACAAAACATCTCCCACTGTAGCTTGATACACACGTCCCTTGAGATTCAGGGATACACCGCTTTGATGCCATAGGTGTCTCCAATTAGCAAACCTGACCTCAAACTTGCAGATTCGTGCATTGACTTCATCCGTCACACAACAGTGAGAACTAATACAACTTCCAAGATACGTAAAACGCTCCACGACTTCCAGTACCTCTCCCTGGATTGTAAGTGACGTGTTCAGTGACTGATGTTCAGGAGCATGACCTAGAAAATTTGTGGATGCAAAGTGCATACAAAAAGGACGGAAACACCTGCACTTTCTCCTCCTCTTCGAAGATGAGAACGATGTCGTCTGCATACTCCAGATCTTCACATGCTATTTGAACACCAGGATTTTGGAGACCCTCCAGCGTTCGTCTCATTATTTCATCGATCACAAAGTTAAAAAGGAGTAGATAGAGTGGATATCCCGGACGGACATTCCTTTGTGTACGGAAGCTTTTGGAGAGCTCGCCGTATACTCTCACACGTCCGGAATTCTGAGAATACAAAGAACGTATTATGTTTACAAACTTCCGAGGAATTCCTTGGTGAGCAAGCGTGCCAAGAAAAAAGACCGATCAACCGCATCAAATGCGCCCTGAAAATCCAAGAACACTAGAGTTGTGGGCCGCTTATAAGTATGGGACAGTGCTTTTCCCAAATGCAAGCAAACAGAAAAGCGCCGACTGATGAAATTCGGCCACTTCTTTGGCTAATGCGGATTGGAGTTCATCCGGACCAGAGGCGCCGTGGCGCCTGAGAGAACACATACGGTCGTAAATCTGCGAGGCCGCGGGCGGTTCCACGTTCACCGTCCAGGGTTCTACATCAACTGTGGGCTCCAGACGGGTGCCAACTGGTTGCTATGACAATTGTTGTTCGAAGTATTCGGCCCACCGGTCGATGCGATATTCTTTATTCAAGATGATCACTCCTTTCCGATCCTTGATAGTTTCGCTCATAGATGGTTTCGGAAACTGGTTGCGCAGATGAACTGAAATAATCTTGGGGCATTCCCAACTTCCTGTGCCTCTTCCATTTCCCTAACTTTGTGCGTCCACCACACTTTACAGTCGACTGGCACTCCAAATTCCACTTGACGTCTGATAATTCGTCCCATCAAGGTGTGTTCGGGACCGGATGAGATATTTCTCCCAGATTTAAGCAGTGCCACCGTTCGGTCTAATATCCAGTGCCTGAGTGCGCATGGTGGTGCCACGCCACATGTGAAATTCCCAGCACTATACAAAAAGGTGGCACTCTCGTCCCAGTACGAGTACACATCTGATGGTGAAACATTTGCAAGACTCCAGAATACGATTCTGGTAAGTTCGTCTAACACACGTATCTACTCGTCTCTTAGTTGCCAAGCGATTTGTCCGCATCTTACGCGGTCCCGGAGAACGAAGAGAAAAACGACTCTGGTCGAGCGCGTGGACAGAATCCGAAAATGTGTTCCGAAACGACCGGCATTCAGTTATTGATCTGCACCATTGATAACTGATGGCAACGTGATCGATTTGAGTTTGTGGCCGGCATGCCGTTAGAGGATACCATGTGGCCACATGACTTCGGCTGTTTCGGAAGCTACCACTGCATAAAAACAGCCGAAGATCAGCACACAGCTGAAACAATAGTTCCCCATTGTCCGTATGTACCGATTCCAATCCATTTCGACCTCATAATTGAGTCCCAGATACGCTAAGCCTGCCCACTTGTGCATTCAAATCTCCAGCAACCACAACGATATCTGAGCTTCTAGCTCGCCACAGCAGGGCGTCGTAAATAAATTTTAAAAAAATAAATTGTTCAGCTGTGACATCCTTCGGTGCCTAGCTGCCATGCCCCCCAAAGGAAGCACAAGAGGTGGGATACTGTCAGGTTGCCCAAGCCTAGACAAGGAAGTCGAGAGGTAGAGGTCGAGTTCGAACCACGGAACTTCTGGTCACTAAATTCGCGCTCCAACAACTTGAGCCATCCCGCCCCCGAGAAATTTATGAACCTCGTGAAGTCATAATACTCTCCCACTGGAGATCCATCCGGAGACACATCTGGATAGGTCAAGAACATTGGCCATAATAGCCGAAGTGAGACAGAGTTGTAAAACCTGTCTTCGATGTCGTCGGAGCTATCGTAAGTTGGAGCGTAAGCAGACAAGATAAATGGACATCGATCAACTTCCCGCTTGTGGCACTTCTTCACAGACGTTGCCAGACAAACCGCACAGAGGTGACTATCAACAGGTATCCAGTCAAGTAATGATACTTCCGCACGGTGACTTAGGATGATACCAACCCCCGCACATCCCGCCGCAGCAGCCGCTGCATAGCCAGAGGCGCGTTTTCGGAAGCGGGTGGAGAATAATGGGGAGGTTAGCTCAGCCACCGCGCTTGCTTCTTGTTTCTGAGACACAGCACACATCAACGCCGAACAAGTCCAGTGTGAGAACAAAAGCAGCATGATTTCCTGCTTGCTTCCTCGGACATTGAGGGCGACCAGATACACTGAGTGTCGAAGTTTGAAGACGTTTGTGTTGCGCACTCGAATGATTGTGCCAGAAACAGAGAACGAGGATTGCCGAATGATTGGCTTTAATCTTCTATCAATTTCAGTACATCAGCTTAAACATTAGGAAACGAGTAAAAAAGTTAAACACAACGTCAGTATATAACATTCTTCCCCATCGGAGGGATTATTGTCAGGAGAATATAAATTAGGCTTCGCGGTTTCGAAGATTATACGATCGAACACGCTGTTGGTCTGTGATGTACTGTAGGACATTCCCCGGAACTTCACTGGGTTGTTCTGGTGGTGTCGTTTCGCCTCCAGGAGGATGAAGCGAGTGTGATAGAGTCTCGTCTGGAGGAGCCGCTACACTTTGATGTACTGTAATTCCCTGGAACCTCACTGGGTTGTTCTGGTGGTGCCGTTTCGCCTCCAGGAGGATCAAGCGAGTGTGATTGAGTCTCGTTCGTCGGAGCCGCT